GAGATCAGGATGGTCTCACGAGGCTATGGGATTCCCCCCTCCCATTGCGGGACCATTTTTTCACCTGGATCTCCGCTCTTTTTGGCCCTCATGCCCCTCCGTTGTCGCACAAACTTGCTCCCATTTCTTCACCGCCTCGGCCGTATCTAGACCCACAGCTAGTTCCTGATTGCGTTTTGGTGTGGAATAACATAGTGCAGACTACTCTTCAATATTGGGCATAAATCAAAACTATCTGCGACAATCTCACTGCGACTCACTGCTGCAGGAGGATAACCAGGTCTTTAGTGTGGAGTCTGTTGTATCTTATTCAGTTAAGTTCTGATTATGAAGATATTAATATATCTCATTTATCTCTTTTCTGTGTTCTAAATACCACATGCTGCTATATCTAATATAAACGCTGTTGATGGGGGCTAATTACATTTCTGCATTCAAGTCATTATTTAACTGAAGTATGAATTATGCACCTTTTTTTTAATTAGAGATTACAAAAAGATTTTTTAAGTAGGTCCTAAAATACCTTAAGAAGCTGTGCTTCAAAGGTGATTACCTGATGAGGTCCAGAGGCTGGTATTTGTACCACATCCCCCAGCGCGCCCAGCGCTCATAAAGCAGATGCCTGTGGTTCTGGGCACCGTGTGTTTTAATTGGATGTCTGCTCTTGTAACTGCCCTGAGGAGACAAAACATTTTTTATTTAAAAATCTTCCAGTGTCCCATTTCACATGTGAAAATGATCATTATTATTTATTTTTTATCTCCTGCTCACTTTTTAAATGTTACATTTGATCTATTTATTTTTACGACGGAGTATTAGGGACAGGTTTCTGATTTTTTGGGATATTTTATTTTGAGAATAAATTTGTAACATTACTGAAATAATGTTGTAACATTAGGAGAATAAAGTTGTAATATTACGAGAATAAGTCAAAACATTATGAAAAAACAAAACAAAAAAACATTACAAGAATAAAGTTGTAATATTACAAGAATAAATTCGTAACATTACAAGAATAAATTTGTAACATTACGAGAATAAAGTCGGAACATTATGAGAATAAAGTTGAAACTTTACGAGACAAAAAAAAACATTACGAGCATAAAGTTGTAATATTACGAGAATAAAGTCGGAACA